ATCATTACTTTTAGTTGGCACCTGTGTCAACGAACTAACAATCTTGGCCCCTGTACACGACTGTTTTGTTACCAAATAGTTTGATAGTTTTTCAGATAATATATTTTGTTGTATTTATTTTAGCAGCCATGAGTCACGTGTCGCAGCTGAAGCTTTGAGGTCGAAGTAATCAATAAAAGCTTAATGACAGTATCAGTACAACTGCTCATACAAAAAAAGCTATCAGTACAACTGCTCATACAGAAGATATTTGGCTTTGGTTTCGAAACTCTTCTCATGAGAAGGGAATTCATTGCTATGCGGCTCATCGGCACCTCGTATTAACATTCGGGTTATACATGTCGTGCCGAAATCGCGGAATTGTCGATTCGATGGAATCGGTATTCAGTTTACCGGATTGGCAGACTTAGCATTTATGTACTATAAGAATCTAGGGTTAAGGGTACGCACCCGTGCACCACCTAATTTGTGCACCAATCAGCCTTGAAAGGAACGCCTAGCATATTTCCGGTGACCACCAATCAGCCGCGGATTAAGCCATCCGTCAGTAACCAGCCCATGACATCATCTTGCTTTAAAAATTAGAAGCTTTACGCCACCATATTCTGAAGCGAATAGCCCAGAGAGTAATGGTTGTCCACCACTGAACGTTGCATCGAATCATCACTTCATACCCTGACTTTAGCTCGAACTGTAACTTGCGGACAACGGACTGCGACCAACCAGCCCAGCTCGCCAGTGGAACTGCATGGCATGCATCCTGCCGTGCACCACCAGTCGGTCACTTTTAACTCACAATATCCGGGGTTAGGTTTCAGAAAGCATAGTTCTGTTCCTAAATCTATCGTCCGCCGACGAGTGACTTCCTAAGCTTCGCAAAATTACGTAACTTTTAGCTCCCAGCATCAAGGGTTAAGTTTCAGATAGCATAGTTACTGTTCAAAAATTTATCGTCGTACGACTCGTGGCCTTCGACCGTAGGCTGATTCAACACACGGGACAGGTACGGACGGCTCCGGCCTGCTCCGTCCGGGTGGTGTAATTTTTTTCGCGTATTGGCAGACGATGCTGGGCTATTCTACGTCAGGCTATTTTCCTGTGGGCTGATTGATCTAATTCAATAGATGTAATCTGTCTGGTGGCTTGCGGCTGATGTTACAGTCAGTAAGTGTTATAGGCTACGTTCCTGAGGGAAGGGATCTAGTTCGGTCATTCTGTGTATAGACCTAGAAAAAATTGCAACAGAATTTCTTTTTGTGAGGATATTATCCACACATAATGTAGTACTTCCACCAAAAAATGTAAAAAAATCTATATGGGGGAAGAGTCTAAAAAATAAATTAATATTTTGGGCATTTCTTTTTTAACTTTTTCCCAATATACTGCACCTACTGTTGTACTAAAGTGCATCATTTTTAATTTTCCTATAAATAAATCATCAAATATATGTTCACACAGTTTAATGAGATTTGAATACATTAAATGTCTTAAAATTAGATAAGGTTTAAATATCATATATAAGTGTAAATAGTCCACTGTAAGAAATTCATAACATGACGTAATATCTCTTGAACAGTTTGCCAATAGAAAACAAATTGATGAAGTTATATAATAGAAATACATTTATTGTGATAAATATGAAAGTCTATTGCCGTTATAATGTGTTCACTGTCTAATAAAATACGTTGACATCATCTTCTTCGTTCATGTCCACTGGAGAGGAATCGATGCAGCTGGTACCCCTACACTCATCACAGGCCGCAGAACACTTCCATCTTCCTGCATGTGCATCTTCTTGAGCTACAGTAACTTTCACAGTTGCAATGAACAACCTTCAGCAGTGCCTGTGGTGCTGGTGGTAGGTCTGTTGTTGTGGGGTTCAGTCGACCCTCGACCAGACTCCATCCCCACTGGTTTGGATATAGTGCAGGCTGACCTATCCATTCCTGTACCTGGTAATAGACTCTCGTGCTGTGATACCTAGCAGCTGCAGCAGTGGGTGGGAGAGTGTGTACCTGTACTGGAGAAGTACTTGTTGACAACCTCTCAAAGTACTTGTGGTATTGCAGCTTGTCAAGACCTTCGTTTGGTTGCCCACCATACAAACATACAAGTGCTTCTTCACCTGCGGTTTGTACCTCATCATTGGTTGCAACTTCAGAAAATACACGAGCTTGCTTCCTAAATATCTGTTCAGACTTTAACTTTCGAAGTGGAACGCCCTTGCCAATACCAGAGGAGATGTAGTGTCACAACCAGCAATGGCATTTACAAATGGGAGTAGGGTACTCACTTCTGGCCCTACGGACCTCTGGAACCAGTGAATGTCCCAGACTCGGAACTAGAAATGACTAGACTAGACAGAACCCTTTCAAGAATGCACTCTCTCGTAAGTTGTCTACTGATCGACCTTTCAGCTGAGATTTTCAATCAGTGCCAGACTTCTACAGGAATCTGCTTCCTGGTCCTGAAGTTTATGCTACAGACTTGATGGTAAATAGCATCTGATGCATGCATCTTGGGCATATTCCATTTTGCCTTGAACATTTTGAGCCCAGCCATCTTTGCGCTTTTTACAAACACTCTCCACGGTCTCTTTAAAGTTCCCAGTTCTCACTGGAAAGCTTAACACAGTTCCATTATCGTGTTTTTTTTTAGCTGGACATACCACTGGCTGAGTACAAAAGAAGCAGTGTTCTTGAAAGCTGAAGGAAGTACCTTGTGAGGGCAAATGCCGGCTCCGTGTAGATGAGGTACTGGGATTTTCTTTTTCTCTCAGGTATTTGCTGATGCGATGTTTATTGCAGTATTTTTGGCGACGTTCAATATGAACTGACTGTCCAGCAAGTGTTTCAATGTTGTCACCACGTTGTTCACTTGCCAGATTAATGCTAGTACTGCCTTTTTGACGAAGAGTCAGTGTAGGCTGACCATCTGACATAGAACCCCGACATATCACACAAATATTACAGTCCATGTTTCAGGTTTACATATTTTCCAATGGTTTCAATCTGACCTCTGTAGATATAAAGATGGAGTCACTAAACGTAGGTCTCAGATAAGAGAGTCACATTAAGTTAACATAATTTAATGTCTTCACACATTAGGTCCAACCGTCCAAGATTTCCCTGCTCTAACTCTACTCTAAAGTAGGCTGCCATAGCTAATTTAATGGCATTGCAGTACCCTCCTAACCATCAGAAATAGCACATACAAGTATTTGTAATGGTTTTGTAGCTGAAGGTACCTTCAGGTGTAGAGTATTTGTATTAGTGTGGAGTGAGCTAGGAGAACAACAATTTAGCCTACAGCTAAATTGTAGGCTAGAGCAAAATTCCACCTTTTAGAGCAAAATAACATATAAACAAGGTGAAAACTATATTTATATATTATTTTCAATATAAACTGTTTTATTGATGGTGCATTTAATAACATAACGAAAATATAATCTGTTTAAATAACATGGTAAAACAATTAAACTGTATACATTTTTTCATCCACTCAAATAGGACCACAAAGAAAAGAAATACAACAATTTTCAATGACCGATTTAAACATGTTCCCCCACTTGGATTTTTTTACATTTTTTGGTGGAAGTACTACACTATGTGTAGATAATATCCCCACAAAAAGCAATTCTGTTGCAATTTTTTCTAGGTCCATCCTTTTCTATGCACAGAATGACCGGACTAATCATGATAATCCATTCGAAGCACGGCAGTGGTGGTCTCCGACAGGCGTTCGAAGAAAGTCAATGATTAAATTTTTTTTTCGTAACTTTGCGCAATCACGCAATGGAACACAGATAAGAAAGTAAGTGAAGCCAGCTTATTATTAAACATGATGATTATAAATAAACTTTTATGTGTTTTGCACCAACCATGAAGGCCCCAATTATGAGCAATTTATTTGTTCTGCAGACAACTCGGGGTGCGGGGGTTGCGATTTCTTCCGTGGTGATCCGAAATCCAAAAATTACGCGACTCCAGATTAAGATATTGTGTATTAAAGATAAGATATTGTATTAAAGATAAGAAATGTATTAAAGATAAGAGGACTTTGCTTATCAGTTAGCAATGCGTTTATTTAACAGGAGACACGCAGAAAAAGCATAGCGGCGGTACAATTCGAAAGCTTTTTGGCCGACCTGCAGCCCGCTATGCTATCCGAACTCCCATTTTGATAGGCAGTTTTGGAACTCCCATTAATGAGTGCAGTTTTGGCACTCATTAATCCCGTGCATCCCTGAGTTTTGTAAGATAGAATGTATATTGTAATGTAGGAAGGAATATCGAGACAGCCTATGGATTGTAACGATTGTAACTAGCATGTCACCCAAAATGTCACACACCAGAATGTATATTGTAATGTTAGAAGGAATACCAAGACAGCCTTTGGATTGTAACGATTGTAACTAGCATGACACCCAGAATGTCACACGCCAGAATGAATTGAATACACCGTACAGTTCAGAATGATCATGTCGAAGTGTAAGTTCAGCTGAACAGACTCAGATTGTGATCATTTGCGATCTACAGTCATCAGACACATCATCAGCTTTGACGGCTTTGCAAATATGGAGCGTCCGTTAAAAAAGCTTCGCCACTCCACCTGAACAAACGCTGAGCACCGAGGATATGGTCATCTTACACGTGTAACGAAAAAAATTATTCTAATACAAATTGAGGTTCTTCTAGCAAATAACTTTCCATGAAAAAAAAATAGAAAAGTTAAACATAATTCTATCATATTCGCTTATATCTCCACTATATTTTGAAAATTGTTAATTTTTTTAACCAGAGAGTTTAATTTTTCATAACAAACAGTATAATCTAAATTTCAACAATTCATTGTGGAGCTAGATGCCATTAGCTGTGGTGATGGATGATCTCTGACGAACAGCTGTAGGCACGCGACAAATAAAACCAACTGTTCCAATAATGTCATGAAGCTATAAATTCAGACCATGTATCGCACCAAGTCATAAAAGTTCTATCAGCCTTTCTTAGTGACGCGTTTTGCCTTAGCCTCTGACCGCTTAAGCCTTTACGACTACCAACATGAGGATATCTGTCGGTCTTGTCCTTTTTCTCACGGCAGCCTCTGCCTACGCCGCTGTTGCTAAGTAAGTGCAATCAGCAATTGCATCCGTTCGCTGAGCTCTCCCCGCCTGTTCACCTTTATCCTAAATTATTTGATGATATTGCTTTGTACTCTAATTTTGTCCCGCAACCACAACTCAATGGTGAAAAAGTTGCATTTAGAGCTATCGATATTACTTGTTTTCCTGACTAAAATAGGAAATGTTCATCTTTTGGTGTTACTCACTTGGTGTACTTGTCTTTATTCATTTCTCTACCGCAGTTTAACCGCGTGTACAAAGGCCTTACGCCTCGCGTTGAAGACTGCAACCAAGGGAACTTCCTTCATTCAATGCAAGTCGGATCCTGAGGGAAGTGTGGCCTGGACTGCCCTCGCAGGTGAGATATCGCAAGATTTATTACCATCAATTGGTTGATCTGAAATTTTCTACCATTACGCTAATCTATGGTCAATTCTCCCAATTGATATTAGTTTCAAAAACTCAGTTCTAGACCTTGTATTTTTAGCGCATTTTCTCAATATGGAAAAATGGCGCTATTGTGCACGTCATGTCCGTCCGTCTGTCTGTCCGTCTGTCTGTCCATCCGTCCGTCCGTGATCACGTTTTCGTCGACAAGAAAATGCGCTCTCTGTCACTCACTGCAGTGAGTACGGTGGAATCATCATAAATTCATGAGAGATCTAAGACAATAAGTGGCAATTCACGTGTTCTGCAGATAATCCTGACTGCAAAGACTACATGTTCCTTACCTCAAAACCCCAGTGCGAAATTGCCGCAGCTCCCCTCATGAAATGTGTAGCGGGAAAACTTGGATACGTAAGTCTGGAAATGATGCTAAGTTTCCTCTACATTATCTGTCATGAAATCCACTTTGAATATTAGCTTACCCTATTTGTGGTGTTGAACGTAACAGCTCAAAATATGGCCAACGCAAAACATAGTGCACCATTAGAGATATTCATTTCAAACAATTTCATTAGTTGTTAAATTATATTATGAAGTGTTAAATTATATTATATTATGAAGTTACAACCTTTGTAAATGTGAATACAGCACTCATTCTTTTATTTCTAGTTGAACGATGATGGCTCTATCAGCGGCACGAAGTTCATATCTAAGTTCAAGTCTTACGTCACCAGCAAACCTGGCTGCGACGCAGCTCAGTACGACTTCGGGGTGAAAAAATGTGGCCCTAAAATCACAAACTACACGGTAAGTTTTTCTTGCCTTAGCGGGACACGCACAAAGTTATTTCATGGCAGAACAATGAGTTAAGATTATGTCGACCTGAATTTATGTCAAATGTTAACTTGGAGGCCGAGTGATAATTTTATTTTCGAGTATGTAGAAACTTATGAAAATCATTCATAGTTCCTGTTAAAATATGTGTCGAAATTTCAGACCACCAACAAGATTCTTTGAACTGGTAGTCCCCTTTCCTAATGCCAATGTGACATATGATTACCTGTGAATCTGTGTCGCATATCATTCTACCTCTATATTTCCTTTGAATAATGTTGCGTAAAGTTATCACTGAAATTCTAAGCCTTCTTTCACTACTATCCACTTCAAATGAAACATCACTTCATGCTACGAACGTTTTTTTGCTTATATAATGAACTATTACAAACAGTTCCTAAAGAAGGCTGCATGCATCGTCCTCTTTATGAACGAGTACTCTGGCTGACCTGCGCAATCCGGTCCTGATTCCTTCATCTGATTGGCGGCTTTGAAATGTTCACAACAGGTGCACAATAATAATTAGGGGACCACTTGCTCCACTCACTGCATCCACGTACAGGAAAAATTGTCTAATCGGAAGTTAATTGTAATTTGTGCAACAATAAATTAAATAAAATCCTACTTATAATCATACCTACAGTTATTATTACATTCAATAAAAAGTTAAATTTGAACACTTCTGAAGAAGTGCAGCATTTTGATTTTTACTGATATGTTCATCTTATATATATATATATATATATATATATATATATATATATATATATATATATATATATTATATGTATATTATGATATATTTTGTGTCAAAAAACTTTTTGATGCACTTCAAATTATTATAATTCGATAAGTTCAGTGTAAAGTGCCTTGAATATAAGTTCAAATAAGTTAGCGTGCAACCAATCATTTATACTTATATTTAACCAGAAATCACAATGTTTTTAGAATTCCTTGCACTTGATAATTAGTGACTTGTTGCTGTCCTTCGAACCTCTGCACTTTTTTTTTCTTTTCCTGACAGGTTGAAAAAGTTTCGGAACACTTCAACAATGGATTTTTTTTTATTATTTCACCCAAGCTGTGCGAAATATATTACAATACATTATCTGCATGAATGTTGTTTTGATTGGCCCCTTTGTTGTGGATAAAATGTCGTGATGTCTGTTGCTCAAATCTCTCCATATGTTGAACGTGCATTCAATTCATGAGGTAATTACAAAAATTAATAAGTAAAGTACACGTAAGAAGTTAACAGCAAAGACCCAAGAAACCAATAGCTACATTTAAGTTGCGAAGATGCGATGCATTTAGTTTCAAGAGACATGTCGCTGTCTTAAACTTGAAGTAAGTTCCACGAACATGCATTTGGGAACAGATAAATGTCAGAGAGACGTCGTAAGGACCTAAGGATGAAATGATAACTGGAATGAAGAAGAGTGGTTACACAGAAGCCATCTATGTTCGTCGAATACCATTTTTTTTTCTTCAAGAAACATGTAACAAAAAGCATTCATTGTCAAATAAAGCAATTTTTGAATCGATAAATGGAATAATTTCGATCAAGATGATCATTACTGAGAAATACTCCAATGCAATAATATTAACATCAATGCGATCTCTCTTAGTAAAACTAACTAGTTGAAAATTAATTTCAACAAGTTTGCATTGAGACATGAATGTTTCTGAGATTTGATAGAAATCGAGAGTCATCGTTACATATCAGACGGAAAAAATATTTCTTAAAATTCATGAATATTATACTAGTTTGTTACATCGTTTTGAATTAACCCAATTTATGTTTAAGGCGATCGATAGTTCTAGGGATCCTTCATCCCACACTCCTGGATAAAAAAGCTCCCCGCTCCGAAATATGATTAGCGGTATTGGAAAGTATATTATACGTTAAGTTCGGAGTTTTTTTAGCCCTGTTAAATGTGGGCAATGGGGAATATCGTAACACTAGCATCTTTTCTTGTCAAACTTTTCAACCGCTCCCTCACTGATGGTGTTGTTGTGATGAACTCCAAATCAGTTTAGATTATGCCCTAGTTGAAAAAAACATGAAAAAACAGGCCTTGACGCATCTGATCCCAAATCATATCGGCCCATCTCCAACCTGTTGATGTTGTCATAACTCCTGGCACGAGTTGTGGTCCGACAGCTGAACAACCACCATCTACAAGTCCGGTATCATGCCTCGTCTCCAGTATGCATACTGCAATGGTATAACATAACATAACATAGTGATCTCGGCGAGGAATTGTAGGCCTGATGTGGCCAGTCGCCGATTCTTTTCCTTTTCGTGCCTTGTTCACAGAAGATCAAAAATCGTGTCATTTGACCGGATCTTTTTATGACTGACGATAGTTTGAAATAGCTACTCGACTTACGCCGGGTTCGATATGGTGCTAGGCATTTCAAATCTGAACATATATTTTTCCATAGCTTTAACCAGCGTCATCGTGGTGACTTGCCAGTGAACTATGTGTGATTAACTGATTTCTTCGGTACTGCGCAATATCTTATCAAAGTAGGATTTTTTGATCACCATTGGATCTGGAACTAACAGTGCAACGTCGACCAACTACCTCATTACTGTACACTGGCTGAACCCATCCACCCAATCATCATCTATTGTTATTATTTATCTGCCTGGCTATCAATTTAAAAATGTTCTTTAAAAACATTCGCGGGCCGTTAATAATCCGTTAGAAAGTTAAGCTTAGAGACGGATATTCCTGACAGTGCCGGGCTCTTCAACCAGTGACGTCATCGAGACGCAATATGCGCGTCATATGGGTACGGCTTCTTACGATGGTTGTCCGTGGCAGTGTCAAGCTCTTATGTAAAGTTTACAGTTTATAATATAAGTTAATGGATTAATTGATCTGTACAGAAATGATTCGTGTTCATTAAGAATAATTTGTGTTTGCCAAGGTTTTTTCCATTAATATATTAATTTCGGATTCTTTCATTGTGCACCTAATATTACTAGCCAATTTACAACGCAATGTACAGTAGACTTCTGATTGCGACCAGTACGTGCTAGCGGTTCCCCGCTACAATACCGTCATCTCCACTCGACGGAAAGCGCTGTGCTGAAGATGCTTTCAGACATTCTACGCGCAGTTGACCGCGGTGGAATTGCGGCGCTAGATTAAATCGACCTCTCGGCAGCGGTTGACACGGCCGATCACGCAAAATTAATGCGTCGACTTGACGTATCTTTCGGCCTACGTGGCACAGTGCTGCGTTTGTTCGAGTCCTATCTCAGCTATAGATTCCAATGCGTTCGACAAGGGAACTCTTACTTTACGCAATCGTTGGTTACTTGTGGCGTACCCCAGTGAGCATTTCTCGGCTCGATTCTCATTCTGTTTGATATATAAAGTGTTATACTATCGACATATTTCACATAATTGAGTCACATAGTTTCAATCCGCACATGTTCGCTGACACCAAAATTTATGGCTACTGTGCACCGGCTAACGCGGCAGCGTTGCAAGTCCGGATGTCTGTCCGCATGGACGCCGTCTCAAACTGTACACGCTCCGGGAGCGCAGCCGTGCACCACCAATTTTGTGCACCTAATAAGCCCTGAATCGAACGCCTTAGATCTCTCCGGACCTACACCAATCAGCCGTGCACCACTCGGCCTTGTCCTTTTCCGGCCTTGACCACCACCTGCCGTGCACCACCAGGCCGCGGATCGAATCTGACTTTGATCGAATCTGAATGGCATTGTTAAATTACGTAATTTTACGTTCACCTCATCTGAGGTTAGGTTTCAGATACCATATTACAGATAGCAATATTAGCAGATAGCAATATTACAGATAGCAATTACGTAATTTTACGTTCAACGCATCTGAGGTTAGTTTTCAGATAGCATAGTTCTGTTCCAAAATTTATCGTCCTTCGACAAGTGGCCGTTCGACCGAGGGCTGGTTCGACCCACGGCCTAGATACGGACGGCTTGAAGCGTTGAAGGCTACGTTCCGGAAAGCAGGAATCATGATGGTTCATTACATCCAGGGCAGTGGTGGTCTTCGGCAGGCGACCCCACGCTCCAACTGGCTCCAGCTCAATGCATTAAAAACCGACTTTAATTGGTTTGCGACTGCTCGGTGCCAGCATTAGCTTGGGATCAACCCAGTAGGTAGCTTGTCTTCCAAGTCATTTCAATGAAGATAAAGTGAATGTACGTGATGCTTCTTTGCTCAAATAATTTTCATATTAATTTGCTGTATAAAAAACGGCAGCAATTTCATGTGGTTTAATTTAAAACGCAAAATATTGAAGTCAACTAAAGTCATAATGTTATGGCTGAATGTTGCTGTACAATAGAAACTGAGTCCTGAAGAATGAAATTTGTGCGTATTGATGTTTCTTAATGTATATTATTCTTGCAATATGTGCTTCCAGTGCAATAGGATAAGAAATTCATATATAATACAAATTGAAATATCAAGCAACATTCTAAACATTAATATATATAATGCATTGACTGAACCGTGTTATCTAAAAATTACATTCAGCCGAGTCTAAATGTAATAATAAATAAAAATTGCATTCAGCTGAATTTAAAGTTGATGAAAAATAAAAATGTCAGTCAGCAGAGTCTAAAGTTAAAAAGTTAATAAAGTTAAAGTAAAGTTAATAATTTAATATTGAGATCTGTACGATCGCTTCACCCTTTCTTTGGACCGTTAATGGTTTTCAACTTTATTAATGATGGCGGTTGATGAACGATGCTATTCATTGTTAACATAATTTTTATACATTAACATACTGGCTAATGAACCCTGAGTCTATAATATTTCGATAATGACATTCGGCATCATTACTTATAGCTGACACGTGTGTCAAGTGTCAACGAACTAACTATCTTGGCACCTGTACACGACTGTTTTGTTACCAAATAGTTTGATAGTTTTTCAGATAATATATTTTGTTGTATTTATTTTAGCAGCCATGAGTCACGTGTCGCTACCCAGAATGTCACACGCCAGAATGTATATTGTAATGTAGGAAGGAATATCGAGACAGCCTATGGATTGTAACGATTGTAACTAGCATGACACCCCGAATGTCACACGCCAGAATGTACATTGTAATGTGGAATCGAGTCATGATGCAGCTCATGAGTTATAAAGATTGAATACACCGTACAGTTTAGAATGATCATGTCGAAGTGTAAGTTCAGCTGAACAGACTCAGATTGTGATCATTTGCGATCTAAAGTCATCAGACACATCATCAGCTTTGAAGGCTTTGCAAATATGGATCGTCTGTTAAAGAGCTTCGCCACTCCACCTGAACAAACGCTGAGCACCGAGGATATGCGTCATCTTACACGTGTAACGAAAAAAATTATTCTAATACGAATTGTGGTTTTTCTAGCAAATAGCTTTCCATTAAAAAAATGAGAAAAGTTAAACATAATTCTATCATATTCACATATATTTCCACTTCATTTTATGTATTTTTAATTTTGTCAACCAGAAAGTTTAAATTTTCCTAACAGACAGTCGAATCTAAATTTCAACAATTGATTTAGGAGCTAGATGCCACTAACTGTGATGACGGATGATGTCTGACGAACAGCTGTAGGCACGCGATCAACAAATAGAAGCAACTGTTTCGATTATATCAGAAAGCTATAAATTCAGACCATGTATCGCACCAAATCACAGGAGTTCTATCAGCCTTTCTTCGTGACGCGTTTTGCCTTAGCCTCTGACCGCTTCAAGCCTTTACGACTACCAACATGAGGATATCTGTCGGTCTTGTCCTTTTTCTCACGGCAGCCTTTGCCTACTCCGGTGTTGATGGGTAAGGGAACTCAGCAATTGCATCCGTTCGCTGAGCTCTCGCCGCCTGTTCACCTTTATCCTAATTTAATAGCTGATACTGCTTTGTGCTCTAATTTTGTACAGCCACTACAAGTCAATGCTAAAAAAGTTGCGAAAATGTTGTATTTAGAGTTATGGATATTACCTGTTTCCCTGAATAAAATGGAAAATGTTCATCACATGATGTTTCTCACCTGGTACTTTCATTTCTCTACCCAGTACAAGTGGGTGTGAAAAGGC